ATAACACTAAACTATGAATAATTTAATGATAAAATTTCATATAATTGTGAAATGTTGGATACTTGCAAATCTGTATTTATTCTTCTATAAATAATTATTAAAACTTTAGTATCCTAAATTTAAAATCTAAAAAAATTCAATCCTACTTATGATCAAATACAAATTTAAAATTAAGATAATATTTTTTTAAAATTCGTTAATTTACAAAATATAATTTTAGAATATACAGAAGGAAACAGATCTAACTAATAATTACTATAAATTTTTATACAAAAAAAATTTCGTTGTATTCGTTTTTTTTATAATTTATACATTTCGTTTAAAAATACAATAAAATCACATTTAAAGAGTATAATGAATAAAGGTAAATTTTTGTTTTTAATAATAATAAATTTTATTTTCTAATTTTAAAATAGCCAATTCTTCGACTATGCCCAACCCAACCCAATCAACTAATTGGGATTGGACATTAATTGTGCTTGTATCTCAATAATTTTTATTCATGATAAAATTATAATCGACCCATCAAAATTGTTTGTAAGAAATGTGCTTAAATAATGGCTATTACAAATTTAGTAATCATTGATATACAAAATAAATTTTTATTTTCAAAAATTACTTCTATTATAAAAGGGAAAATGTATTAATCCTATTTGATTATTTTCTAATTGTGTGAGAATTAATGATGTATTATCAGGTTTGTAATCCGATGTATAATCCCATTTCCAGTCTGGATCACTGTCTAAAACAGCATAATTTCTCTTTGATTTCATTAACTCCCGACAGTTTAATGCATGTTTTTCAATTGCATCGCTCTTTCTCTGGTCTTGACGAAAATATAATATCATCTTATCCAGGATATTTTTAACACAGTCAAGAGGTAGAGTAGAAATATAGTAACGTTTAAATGCGGATAACATATTATATAAAAGCATCTCAACATTTTTGAAAATTGTGGTTAATGCTGTAAAATTAGCTGTAATATTAAACAAACTATAATTATTATTATAATCTATATTATACCTTAATTGTTGAAGTCTTTTATAAGCTTCAAGTAAAAATAAACAAAATCTGTCTATTAATGTTAATCCAACGCTTTCAATTACATTCAGGTAATGAGTATAACATTGGATAATATTAGTATTGTTTTTAAGACACGGTCGAATAATATCTCCTAATCTTTTACCAACGGTACCATTAATAGGTACAGAAACTTCTATTTCATTTTGTCGCGTCCATGTCCAAGGTTTTTCACATTCCCTTGGGTTGAATAATTCGGACGACATAACATCGGGATCATCTAATATCGTATTTTCGTTGTAAGGCATAGGACAACGAGCTATATCTTTTCCTGTGTAATATTCTTGTTTTTGCAATGTCAATTTTATAAATGAAGGATATTTTCTGAAGAGTTTATTCAAATCGTCAATAGTAATAGATGTTTGATTTTCAGTATTCTGACTCAATTCATCATTTGTATAAACAGTTATTAAATTAAAAATTATTATTTTCAGTATAATAATACGTCTTTTGCTATAATAATTCATTTTACTTGTTATAGTAAAGTTATTCAATAATAAACAATAATGAACCATTTAGTTATAATAAAAAAAAATTAAATTTTTGTATGGTTTTAGATGAGATTTGTTTACGTCAAAGTATTAAACTTACTAAATTTTTCTTGAAAATTAAATATTTATACCTCTCAAGTGATCAATTATTTGTTTGACAATAGTATTGAATTTTTGGGATAATTTAAGTCGTAAGAATTTTATATTTATTCTCATAAATGCGTCATATTTGCTGTTTTACGCACCACAGCACAAATAACTTATTTTTAATCTCAACTATTGTATACAAGTTGATATAATGTACAGGTATATTTCTAAAATAAATAAAATATTCGTATAATATTTTACAAATTTCAATCTTATTAAACTTCAAAAAATTAAGATTTCTTTTTTATTGTTTAAAAATTATTTTGTTTGTTTCAGGTGAATCTGTATAATAATCATGTTCTCATGATTAATTAAATTTACTCAAAGTAAATTTAATTAACGTAAACAAATACCAGTTTTAAATCGTTAGAATCGTATAATTTTGTATGGTATTAAAAATTATTAATTTATTTCTGAATATACAGTATGATTTTTTTATCATAACCCACTCTATTACTTGTGGAATAAATATAATTTTATATTTTTTTGGTTTTCTATAGTTACATATTGTTCTTGAATTATTAATTATGTAATACTTATTAAGTTCATCCCTTATGCCTTGTAAGGGTGTTAACTTTGTTTTTTAAAGGGAAACATATATTTTGAATTTAATAAAATGTTTTAATTTTTAATTTAATTGTAAATGACATTTGAATGTTTAGTATAACTTAATTTGTTTATAATATATAAATATTTAAAGTTTCAAATTTTTTAGTTAATACATAATCACGGATTATTTACTACCAATTATGATAATCAATAGATATGATTTCTGTATTTCAGTTCACATCAATGTGTTTCACTACTATTGATAATAACAATGTTGTGTACATGCGAATATATAAAAAACCAATTAACACAAATTATGTGCTCCCATTAAAAAAAAAAAAATTGTCATCCATACAAGGTATAAGGGATGAACATAAGAAGAATTATGTCATAATAAAAAAAGTTAAACTAGAGGTGTAATTTATTTTGTCATAAAATTAGAAATGTATTAAAGGGTAAATGAAGTATAGAAATAAGATAGAATCAATGAGTTATTTAAATTTGTTTAGCTACAAGGCGAAAATAAAAATATACGGTGTATGATCATGGATCTTTTTGTTAAAATGAAATCACTACATATGATTTGTCGTAAAATGCAAAATGAAGTGAAATTACACACGGATGACACTAACCCGAATAATATTAATTCTACTATGAAATATGCAATGGTTTTGGGGGAAGATTTTATGATTCTTATTTTTTTTTTATCCATTGTAGTATATATAGGAAACAATGTGTGTTTACGTAAAATGTAACTGTTCGATTGTTGGGCGCTAAGCTGAATTACTTTTTATATGAATGATAAAAACAAGTAAAACATTTACGGTACACACTTACAATTGCGATTAGAATGATGATACAATATGTGTTAACAATAATTTTTAAAAATATCTACGTTTAGAATCAATTCTATTATTCCCACAATAAAAATTATTCATGACTTATTTTGAATCTATCTTTAATTTTTTATAACATGCTTAGAATTTATTATCTTGTGTCCAACTAGCTTGATCGTTTGTTGTACAAAAAAAATATAATAAGAACACTGTCTTTAATCTACTTATTTAATTTATAATGTTTAAAAATTGTTAAACTTGAAATATTACTTCACTTAGATTCCTTTCTACACTTGGTATCTGAGTGCGTAAATTCTTTTATACATTTAAATAAAAATTTATTGAACCAGATAGATCATGACAACCAATCCCTAGTGTTGCGCAATGTGCAAATAATAGGTTGCGCACGTGTCCCTTCAAGTTCAATTAACTAACCAATAAGAAGCATTTTTTAATTAAAATCTAAAACATCAATTTTCCCCTTCAAAAACAAGCCTACAGAAGAGCAATCTTTTGCTCTTTGCTACCTTATTTTTTCTAAAAATCTGGTCATGAAGCGTCTCTGCACCAGACTGTTTCGCGATTGTGCTCTCTCGGACTTAGAAACTTTACACACTTGGTGTTTTTTATCTAACTCTCTTATAATTTATGTAATAAAAACAATAATAACTTAAACTTTTTATTTATTTTTTTAATTTTAAATTATTATGAATTATTAAGACAATGAATTTTTTTATTTTGTGAGTTGTTCTGATTAAGAATTTTTTTTAATTCTTCAATTGGAGTACCTACTTAATAAATGTATTTCGAAAATCTACCTTAGCACGTCTAGCGGTTGAAACTATTGGTGTAGCAATCATTTGTAACGTGTCACTAGGGATTGATTCTCATAATCCGTTGCGTTTTTTTCGGCAAGCAGTTTTAGACTCCGTAAGGGCCGTGTATCGACGAGTATAAACTCTGTCGACTCTCATATCAAATACACAATTTCATAAAATACTAATAGTTTATTGAAGTCATTACCTTAGCACATCTAGCGGTTGAAATTATTGATAAAACAATAATTTATGACATGTCACTAGGGATTGGTTGTCATGATCTATCTGGTTCTATAAATTTTTATATAAAAATATAAAAGAACATATATGTTCTGATACCAGGAGTAGAAAGGGATTTGAGTGAAGTAATATTTTGGGTTTGACAATTTTTATAAAATTATAAAATAAATAAGAAAATTAAAGTCAGTGTTCTTACTATATTCTTTTTACAACAAACGATCAAGCTATCTGGACATGAGGTAAGAAATTATATTTCTAAGCATGTCATAAAAATTAAGGATAGACATAAGATAAATCAAGAATAACTATTATCGAGGTAATAATAGAATTGCTAAAGGTGGATAATTTAAAAAGAGGGATATTATTAATAACTACTTTCTCACCATTTTGATCGTAATATTACGTGTTAAACGTAAATGTTTTAACTTGTATCATACATCTATATAAAGAAAATAATTCAGCTATTAAGGCTTGGCGCCCAACAATTGGACAGTAGTATTTTACATGAACACACGATGTTTCCCATTCAAATAGCATGACCAATAAATATTAAGAGTCGTAAAATCTTCATCCGTAATCATTATATATTTCATTGTACAATTAATATGACTCAGGTGTGCGTCATCCGAATGTAATTTTCCTTCAATTTACTTTTTACGACAAAACATGTGTGGTAGTAGTATCTTAATAAAGAATTCATGAATGCCGTATGCTTTATTTTCACATTGTAGCTAAACGTACTTCAACAATCCGTTAACCATAACATATATAATCTATTACTAGTCCTTCCTCTTCCTACCTTTTTATGATAAAAATATAAATATCACACATATAGCTAATTATTTCATTCTCACATTTCTCATCATCTTTTTTTATTATGACAAAATCCTTTATTTTAGCTTCGATGCGAAGCGGAGAAGGTATTAATTTTACTATGATGTATTTTTTTTTTTTTTTATGTCTGTTACCACTTTTTTCTCAGCTCTCATTGGACCCATTTCTTTCAAAAATACGTCAAAAGATCACAAATCGTATCTAGTCGAAGACATTATCCTTAAAAATTGAAAAAAATTCCCTCATTCCCCGCAAATGGGGGAAATATCCAAAAAAATTACAAATTCAAAATTCGATAAATTTTGTCATTTTTTTCACTTTTTTTTCTTAAAACTTCCATAACTTTTTCAAAAATCAACAAATTAACATAATTTTTTTTTTTAATAAAATCTTAGATACTTTCCTTTTATTTGATTTCATTTTTTTGAAAATTTAACACTTAACCTGCTCACTGGGGGGGTTTGAAAATGGCAACTTTTTTACAAAAACTAACTTTTTCAACTTAATTTTTGAAAATGTTCCGGCAATACTGCGTCCTTTAAACATATATCAAATTAAAGCTTATTTTATGTACTATAAAATGAAAAAAAAAAATTTGTCCCGATACTTTATCTTTTACATTTAAACTGCTGTCGTAGTTAAAAAAACACTATTTTTTGTTAAAATTTTTGATTTTCGATTTTAAATTTTTAACTTAAAAATGCTATAACTTTTTGAAAAATGTTTATATCAGCACAATTTTTTTTTTCTAAATACATTATAAGTACATCTTTTATTTGACATAATTTTTATTAAAATTGGACAATTTCCCCTTATATAGGGGGCGTTCAAAACTTGAAATATTGTAAAAAACATAGATCTTTTTCAACTGAACTTTTGAAAATGTTCCGGAAATATTGCGTCCTTTAAACATACATTAAATCAAAGGTTATGTTATATACTATCAAATGAAAAAAAAAAATTTGTCCCGACATCTTATCTTTTATATGCAAATGGCTGTTGAAAATTAAAATAAAATGTAATCATTGTGATAAAAATTACCTTTTAATCAATTTGATTAAATGCCACTAGAATAAAATAAAATTAATAAAACGCAGTTAAAAATTGGTAACCAAAGCAAACTATGAAATGAAATCTACTGTAACGTGACAAAAAGTATCTATTTATTTTTCTATCTATTTGTAAATATTTATATTTATGTTCTAAATT